TGCACGTCGGCGAAGATCGGCTCGATCCCGCCGAGGTAGCGCGACCGAGGCGCGGGCGCGGCGCGGGCCGCGGGCGGCGGCGCGGCCGCGGGCGCCGCCGCGGCCGCGGCCGCGGCCTCCCGCTGGAGCCGCCGCGCCTCGCGGAGCTTCTTCATGACCCAATCGGGGGCGGCTTTTTTGGCCGGCTCGGGCGCGGGCTCGGGCTCGGGCTCGGGCGCGGGCTCGGGCTCGGGCGCGGCGGCGGCGACCTCCGCGGCTTCCGCCACCGCCTTCCGTATCGCGTGGTTCTCGACGAGGTGGCGCGCCGCCGGAGGCAGCTCGACGCCCGTCAAGGGCGACGTCCGCTTCCCGCGGTCGAACCAGGCCTCGACGGCGCGGCGCTCGTAGGTCTGGCCGTCGCCGACGAGCAGGACGGGGTCGACGAAGGGCTCGAGGGTCAGCGGGCACGTCTGCGAATCGGGCGCGGGCGCCACGGGCGGCTCCGCGGCGGCGGGCGACGGCGGCGCGGGCTCGTCCGGCGGCGGCGACGGCGGCGCGGGCTCGTCCGGCGGCGGCGACGGCGGCGCGGGCTCCTCCGCGGGCGGCGACGGCGGCGCGGGCTCCTCCGCGGGCGGCGACGGCGGCGCGACCGCCGCGGGCGGCTCGTCGTCCAGCAGATTCGCCCAACACACCGGGCAGTACCAACCTATCACGCCATCTGCGTCCTGGTCGCTCACGAGGCCGCGCGCATCCTCGTCGGCGCACGCGATACAGGTCACGTGCGCACAAGACCTCGTTCGACAGCCGTCGCACATGACCTCGGGCGTCTCGCCGTCTTCGTCTTCATGCTTGCCACAAAAGAAGCATATTTCCACTTTTTTCTTGCGTCGGCGCGGCGGCATAGTAAAATGCGGACGGCGTAGGAGTAGGATACCGCCGGTCTTAGCTCACATCGGCTCCGGAGAGCAATCGGACGGCATGCCGGCAACCAAGCTCTTCACAAATGCACTGTGCACTGCATCATGTCGACAAGCACACGAAAACTTAGGATTTTTTTTGCGCTGCAGGGGCGGCCCTCGCGCGTGGGTGTAGACAAGGCGCCTCAGGCGCGGGGCTCCTCCTCCGCGGCGTCGTCGGCCGGGTCCGGCGGCGCGTCGCGCTTCGGCGCCCTCGAGGAGAACGCGGCGATGGACCGGACCTTGGTCGCGAGGCGCGCGAGCGAGAGGCGGCTTTTGTCGTCGCGCTTGCGCTTGGCGCCGAACTCGTCGCGGTTGACGCCGAAGAAGGCGGACACGCGGCGCCGCGGCGCCTGGTCGATCTTCGTCTCCATGCGCGCGATCTCCCGGAGCTCCGGCGGCGGCCGCGCGCCCTCGGCGTCGGCCGGCGGCGGCCGGAAGGCCGCGAGGACCTCGGGCGAGAAGCGCGCGTTCCGCTCCGCGAGGGCCAGGGGCGTGAGCTTCTTCCGGTCGTCCCGCTGGCTCAGGTTCAGGTAGCCGTGGGACCGCTGGTAGGTCACGAGGATCTTCGCGGCGTCGGCGTCGCCCTTGTCGACGGCGATCCACAGCAGCGTGCGGCCGCGGTCGTCGCGGCAGTCGAGGTCGCCCGTGGCGAAGAGCTCCGCGCAGAGCGCCTCGAAGCGCGCCGCCGTGCCCTCGACGCGGACGGGGAAGCAGGCCTCGGCGGCGAGCCACGCGCGCGTCGGGGGCTTGCGCCGCGCGCGGCTCGCGAGGCGGTCGTGGAGGTCGCGGCTCGCGGCGCGCGCGCGCGCGAGGAACGACCGCCGCGGCCGCGGCGGCGGCGGCTCCGCGTGCGCGGGGGGCTCGCCGTTCGCGTGTCCGTCGAAGAACGCGTCGATGTGCCGCTTTTTTTCCTGCGGCGCGGCGCGGTGGCGCCGGGACCCGCGCCGGTGCTTCTTGTGCCGGCGGTGCGGCGACTTCGGCGGCGGCGCCGGCGCGTCCTTCGCGGCGTCGCCCTCGCCCTCGGCGCCCGGCGAGAAGATGGGCCCGGCGTAGCACACGAGCTGGTAGGGCTCGAGGGCCGGAATCTTGTTGAAGTCGACGCAGTAGGGCGACACGGCGCTCGGGCCCACGGCCTCGTCGGGACCGTCGGAAGGGGGCTCGCGGACCATCGCGGCGGCGGCGGGGACCCGACCCCGACCTGTTAAGCCCAGGCGGGCGCAAGTCGGGCTGCCCCACGGCATCGAGGGGCAAACATCATCCTCAAAAACGCCTCGATCTTGCGCACGCGAGCCCGCGCTTGGCGCGTCGGACGTCGCGGCTGCGGCTGGGCGCGAGGCCTGTCGAACGGCGCGCGGCTGGGCGCGAGGTCTGTCGAACGGGCGCGAGCTGCGCCTGGGCGCGAGGACTGTCGAACGGGCGCGGCGCGGTCCGCGCCGCCATCGATCGCTCATGTCCTTGGCGCGCCTCGTCCTCTCGTGCGTCGCCGCGGCGCTCGCCTTCGCGCCGCGCGCGCCGCGCGCGGCGCCGCGGCCGACGATGTTGAAAAGCGTCGCCGAATCGCTGCGCGACGCCCACATGGCGACGCTCGCGCGGCTCGCGTCGAACCTCAAGAACGTGAAGCTCGAGGACATCGAGGAGGTCTTCGTCACGGACGTCTACCCCGACCACGTGAAGATCCAGGTCATGACGTGCGAGGCCGACGGCTGCGTGAGCCTGCTCGTGCCCATCGAATTCCAGCGCCGCTGCGACGAGGGCGACGGCTTCGACGAGTGCGTCATCGAGAACGTCGTGCGGCTCGACGCGGCGCTGATGAACGAGGCCGCGGCGCGCGCGGCGGCGCCGGCGCGGCCGCCGAGGAGCGCGCGCTACGTCACTTTGCGAGCCGACGACGCGGCCGCGAAGCCGGCCTGGTGGCCCGCGGCCGCGCCGGACGGCGAGCTGTCGCGCGCCTGCGCCGCGGCGCGCGAGATCCTCAACGACCAGTTCCACGACGACGTCGCGGCCATCGCTGCCAGGCGGGTCGAGAGGGACATCGACTTCGCGGTGGTGGAGGAGCTCTGCCCCGCGGGCTTCCTCGTCGGCGTCGGCGGCGCCGCGGGGACGGACGTCGTCGACTTCCGCTTCAAGTGCGTCGCGCAGGACGTCGACGAGCTCCACGCGGCCGTCGTCGGCGCCGTCGCCGACGCGCAGCGCGCCGAGGACGACGGCGCCGCGGACCCCTGGGCGCCCTTCTAGGGCGCCGTGTAAACATATGTGAATTACGCGGCGACGGCCCGCCGCACCGTCTCGAGGAACGGCGCCTCTTCGTCGTACATGGCGCGGAACGCGTAGTCGAGGTGGCCCGCGTCCGGGAGCGTCTCCCGGTCCACCGCCGTCGCCGGCGCGCGCGCCGCGAGCGCGGCGCAGAGCGCGTCGGCGGCCGACGGCGGCGCCGTCGCGTCGCCGAGGCCGTGGACGACCGTGACCTTCGCCGGCGGCCGCGCGTCCGCGTCGAACGCGACGGCCGGCGAGTTGCGGTCCATGGCGCCGTCGAACGCGCCGCCGAGCGCGGAGATCGCCGCGACGCCCCGCGTCGACTCGTGCGCGTAGTGCGCCTTCAGGTCGTAGACCCCCGAGCAGAGCACCGCGTGTCGCGGCGGCGCGTGGGCCGGCCCGCGGCAGAGGAGCGCGGCCGCGACGAGGTGCGCGCCCGCGGAGAGGCCGACCGCGACGACGTCGCCCGGCCGCGCGGCCTCGGCCCAGGCGAGGGCCGCGCCGACGCCGGCGACCATGCTGTCGCCGTCCTCCAGGGGCCAGACGCCGTAGTCCACAACAGCGACGTCCGCATCGCACGCGTCGCCCACGTTCGCCGCGAGGAGCCGGTAGAGCCGGCTGTCGTCGCCGTGGGACCACGACCCGCCGGGCACGATGACGACGAGCGGCCGCGCGCCGGCCCCCGGCCGCTCGTAGAGGTCGACGGCCGCGGCCGCGCCGACGGCGACGCGCCGCGGCGCCGCCGCGGCGCGCCACGCGCGGACGAGCGCCGCGCACGCGGCGCCGAGCGGCGCGCCGCGCGCCTCGGCGGCCTCGGCGCCGAGCGCGACGAAGCCCGCGACGGCCTCGAAGGCCGTGAAGAGGCGCCAGGCGACGCGCGAGTCCCGGAGGCCCCGCGCGACGGCGCCGGGCAGCCGCCTCGCGACGGCGCCCTCGGCGTCCGCCGCGCCGCCGACGCCGCACGCGACGACGCCCGTGATCACCGCGGGCATGAGCACGGCCGACGCCGCCTCGCGCCCCGCGCGCGCGAGCGCGCCGCCCGGCGCCGCGCTCCGCCCCAGCGCCGACGCGCCGAGGAGGAGCGCGCAGGCCAGCAGGACCTGGCAGCAGCAGCGACGCCATCGACGCTGCGTTCGGCGGTCGCGCGTGGGTTCGGCGCCCGTGGATTGCGTCGCGGGCGCCTTTCTTTGCGTGCGCGGTGGCTGCGGCGCCTGTGGATTGCGTCGCGGGCGCCTTTCTTCGCGTCGCGTGCGTGCGGTGGCTGCGACGACACGAGCGCACGAGTGCTGCGCGACTAAGGCAGTTTCGCCGACTTCATGCTGAATGCAACTTGCAGTGTCGCGTCGGTACGCTCTCGGCGAGGTACGTGCAACTTAGGCTTGATCTGAGATCAGCCCCCCCAGGCTTTGCTCGTTTTGTCAGATCTGGGCTAAAACGCGTCTTTCGCTAGCCGATGCAGCGGTTCCAGGACTTGGCGCGGCGCTCGGTCTGTGGACCTTGCCGCGCCTCGGGCCCGGGTGCGAGTCGCTCGGGAAAGACCATCGGTCGAAGGCGAGCAACTTAGTTCGCGTCGGGGCAGCCCGTGGATGACGAGAACGGCCGTTAATGGTGGGGGGCGACCGACGAGAGGCCCAACTTAGTTCCAGGGCTCGAGCGGGCCGCGGCATCTCGAGTAAACACCGCCTGGAATGTCCCTCCCGAGTGGCCTGTCAAGGTTGCCGCGGCCCGAACGCCGCATGCATTGCGCAGTGAGCGCCGTGTCACCCGCGGCGCCGCGCGCCTCCCGGAGCCGGTGAGGTGATCTCGATCAAATCGGCTCGAGCCGAAGGGCTGCCGCGAGGGCATCTGATCGCCCTCATGACGAACGATTCCCGACGCTCTGTGACTCGAAGGCGACCGAAATTCGGGTCGGGGGAAGCTGCCGCGCCCCATTCCACCCCCTGAGGCTGCCCGTTTGCGCCACCTCGCAATCGTCCGGATGTCGCGTCTTTTCATGTGCCTCACCCACCATGTTTGCGGACCCGCTGGGATCGTTGCACGTCGCTGCATATTCGAGGAGCACGGGGCCCTCTAAGGTGGAGATTCCATCAGCTGCCATAGCAGCTTCGAGCGCCTAACTAATCCAGATACTCGACGTCCTGCCGGGGATAAACGATGGTTCGACCGTAGAGCGGCAGGACGAGTACGGGACACGAAGCAAAAAAACGGGACAAACGCACGGAGCGACTCCTCAGACCCCCGGGGGTCGCGCCCTACCGGTGGGGTGCGTCCCAGGAGCCGCGGGGCCCGGAACTGACGCGCCTGGGGGGGTCGATTTCAAATCGAGCCCTTAGGGGGTGGCTTCTAGGTCAAAAGCGCTCTCGACGGATGATGCGCCGGCACCGCTCGTGCGTCAAAAGATTGCCAGCGAGGTCGGGCTGTCCTGAGAGTCGAAACTCCTCGTTGCCCCCATCGTCCTCCGAGTCCGAGCCGTCGTCAAATTTCGGCTCAGTAGGATATCCGTATCGCGTGCTGCTCAGATTGACGCAGTATTTCGTGGGTCCCTCAAAAACCTCGTACTCCGGACCCGAAAAATCTTTCGGCCGCCGAATCATGAGCTGGACGGTGTCGATATCGAACGCGCCGGTGAGGTCGAGTTCCTCGAGCTTGGGCGCCCAGATCTTCAAATAGTTGAGGTCGTCGGCCCGCCAGAAGCAGATGTGCTTGATCGCCGGGCAGACCAGGCGGAGAGGCTTTGACTTCGTGGTAGCGAGACCCCATATTTTGTAGCCGCCGAGGCACTCGAGGCGCGGGCAGCGGCTGATGCTGTCACCAAACCAATCCGAGCAAGAAAGTGTGACGCGTTTGAGCCAGAGAGTCTTGAGCAAGGGCAGATCCAGACGAACGTAGCACACGCTCACCGCGCAGGGTGCCTCGATGTCGATGACCTCCAGTAGAGGCGTATACGCTGCCGTGAAGTGCAGGGCGCGGATCGCCTGGGAGTCCAACTCCAGTGATTTGAGCTGCGGGAAGGAGATTCCATCGAAGTCAAGGATGTGGGGTTTGACATCTTCGTATTCTGGACGAATGTGGAGGTGCTGGAGGTGTCGGCCGAGCGCGCTCGCCGCGAGCGCTACCAAGTCGGATTGCGAGAGCTGGTTCTCCTCAAAGCGCAGAGTGATGGTTTCCTCGTCATCCGTGCGCTGGCGCTTCGCGTCGCGCGCCGCCTCCGCGACGTCGTCCTCGAAGCGCGCGATGACCTGGCGCAACTCGGGCGACGACTTGATCGGTTTGCGCAGCTCGGCCCGCATCGATGCGGAGAGCCGAGGCATTGATGCTGGTGTCACCGTGGCTGCGGGAGGCGCCGCCGCCGCCGGTGCAGGATCAGGGATTGGTGTGGCGGGAGCGGGCGCCGGGGCCGCGGGCGCGGGCGCGGGCTCTGGGACAGGCGCCGGGGCCGCGGGCGCGGGCGCGGGCTCGGGGACAGGCGCGGCGGCCGCGGGCGCAGGAGCCGCCGCCGCCGGTGCAGGATCAGGGACTGGTGTGGCAGGCGTGGGATCGGCCTGAAGCCGGCGGCGGAGCTTTCGAACGTGTACGAAAGTCATGCCAATGCGGTTCTCCAGCTCATCTTTCGTGATGAGCCCCTCGTCTAGCAGCTCTTCAACGCTCTCGATGCCGAGCTGGATCAGAGGCTCGTAGAAATGGCCTATCTCCACGTCCTTCAGCAGTTCATTCATCGCGCTTTTGGAGTCGGCCATTCTCTCAAATTCTCGCGCCAGATCTCCACGAGATCTCACTGATCAGCGGGGAAGAATTCAGCGGGGCAGCGTATTCAACCATGACTTCAGCCAAGGTCCTGGGCACCGTGGCGGGCACACACCGCCCCCCCCCGACGAGCACGGAGAAAAAGCGGGGACGTGTGACTCGGGCCGGGCGCCCCGCCGGTCCTAGGACGAGGCGTCGTCGCGCGCGTTCCCGTCGCCGGCCGCGTCCGCGGCGGCGGTCGCGGTGCCCTTGAGGAGGCGGAAGCCGTCGACGAGGAGGTGCTTGGTCTCGACGTTGACCGTCTCGAAGACGACCATGCGCCGCCGGATCTCCGCGTCGCCCGCCGTCTGGCCGAGGTCGAAGACGAGCATGAAGCAGGAGGGGATGCGCGCGGTCTCGACGAGGCGCTCCGGCGGGTAGGAGAGGATGATGTGGATGTCGGAGACGAGGAACTGGGCCGCCGGCGGGCCCGCGTCCAACGCCGGCTGCCACCAGACGTACGCGCCGTCTTTCGAGAGCCAGAGCTTGTGCGTCTTGGGCTTGTGGTGCGGCGCGTGCTTGATGACGCGGAAGCCCCGCTGGAGCATGGCGGCGAACTCGTCGCGGAACGCGAGGGCGTTGGCGATGGTCTGCTTGCCGTCGGTCTCGTACTGGAGGTCCAGGTTCAGCGCCTGCTCGTACGTCCGGGGCCCCTCGTCGGCCGCGTCGCGCGCCGCCGCCGCGGGCGGCTCGCCGTAGGCGCTCTCGGCGCAGCCGTCGGGGCTCAGCACGTAGCGCATGATGGGGTAGGCCGGGAGGTCGCTGTTGCGGCTCACGGTGCTGTTGATCATCTCGTCGACCTGGCCCTCGAGCCAGTGGATGGGGTTGCTCGACCGGTAGGGCTCGACGGGCAGCGCGAGCTCGAGGTCGTAGTCGTTGTCGCTGTCGCTGTCGGAGATGTCCACGTAGCGCTGCTGCGGGTACTGGCCCGTGCGCGCGATCTGGTGGAGCACCTGCGCGCCGGCGCCGTCGCGCGGCGGCGGCGCGCGCGCGCGGTCGCGCGCCGCGACGTCGGCGGGCGAGCGGTCCTCGGCGCGGTCCTCGGCGCGGTCCTCGGCGCGGCGCGCGCGCGCGGACGCGCCATCACCCGCGTCCCGCCCCGGGCCCGCGCCGCGAAGAGGCGCCGCTCGACGAGCACCATGGCGGCGGAGGCGCGGCGCGCGCCGCGGTGCGGGCGGCCGCGGGGCGCGTCCGACAAACGCGGCGAGGGCGCGCGGGGGACCGGCGCGCCCAGGCCGGTGGGTCGACGGCGTCCGACGACGGCAGCCCACGCAGCCTGGGCTTCACACGGCAGGACGCCTTTTTTGAGGAAACTTTGGTTTTCATAGGCACTTTCCCATCAGTTGCCCTGCATCACGAAACCGATCACTTTCAGGGAGCCCGCCGGGCCGCGTCGTCGGGGCAGCCCGCCGCGCGGGCGTCGTCGAGGCCGCAAAAGTACTCTCGTAGCCACCTGTGAGGGCGCTCGAGAGATCGAAAGGATCGTACCTCCTTGGCGGCCCCTCGCGGTTCCGGCATCGATGCCGTAGGCGTCGCGCGCACCGCACGTCGACGCGGCGCGGCCATGGACGGCGCGCAGGAGACCAAGGCCGTCGACGACGCGGCGGCCGCCGAGGACTTTGGCGCCATGATGGCGTCGACGCAGGAGGCCGCCGCCGCGTCGCAGCGGTCTTCGGGCCGCCGCGGCGGCGGCCCGCGGTCCTTCCAGGCGCGCGTCGCGCCGAGCGGCTTCTCCGACGCCGCGTCGCCGCCGCGCTTCGCGCCGAACGCCGCTATTCTGCGGAAGACGCAGAGCGTGTCGCGCGGCCTGAAGAAGGGCCTCCAGGCCACGGCGACGACGGCGCTCTCGACGACGGGCCAGGTCGGCCGGGGCCTCCGCGAGGCGGGCACGGCGGCCGGCGCGCGCGCGCGCGAGCTCGCGAAGCTCGCCGCGGAGCCGGCGACGCCGCGGGGCGACCCGCGCGACCGGTCCATGTCCCAGTTCGTCGCGTCGGACGTCGAGGAGTGGGACGAGCTGCCCGCGGCGGCCGCGGCGGTGCGGGGCTCGCGGCGGGGCGGCGGTGGCGCCGCGGCCGGCGGCGGCGGCGGCCTGCTCGTGACGTCGTACGCGCGCGCGCAGACGGAGAAGACGGTCGAGTTCCCGACCCAGGCCGGCGCGTGGCTCTCCGTCTTCTCGCCCCACGCGCCCTGGCGGCTCTGGTGGGACGCGTCCATGCTCCTCTGCACGTGCTTCGTCGTGCTCGTGACGCCCTTCGAGCTCACGTTCGTCGACAACCGGTCGTCGGGCTGCGCGCCCGGGCGCCACGACCTCGACCTCGCGAATTTGGTCGTGAACTCGATCTTCGTCGCGGACATGGGCATGTGCTTCAACACGTCCTACTTCTCCGCGCGCCGGGGCACGTGGGTCGTCACGCGCGGCCGCATCGCGCGGCGCTACTTCGGGTCCTGGTTCCTCTTCGACGCGACGTCGTGCGTGCCCTTCGAGTGCGCGACGCTCCGGTCCGCGGACTCGGCCGGCGCGTCCGCGCGGTACCTGCGCCTCATTCGCGTGCTCCGCTTCTTCAAGCTGCTGAAGGTCATGAAGAGCCCGCGGATCCTGAACGCGATGGCGCGCCACGTCGACTTCTCCTCGAAGCTCCAGACCGTGCTCAAGTACATCCTGATGCTGCTCGTCATGGTCCACTGGAGCGCGTGCCTCCTGCGCCTCCTGACGTTGGTGGCCTGCGACGCGGGCCGCGGCGAGGACCGCGGCGCCGGCGGCGCGCGCGGCTGCCCGAACACGGTGCTCACGATGGGCTACAACTGGGGCGACGGCATCTGGGCGACGTACGTCGAGGCCGCGGTCTGGGCGAACATGGCGCTCAACGGCGAGGCGACCTACTTCCTCCACAGCGAGGGGCTCCTGGGCATCTTCATCATGCTCTGCGGCTTCATCCTCCTCGGGTTCCTCCTCGGCGAGCTCACGAACACGCTGAGCAACCTGGACCCTGTGGGGAACCAGTTCAAGATGACCAAGGACTCGCTGTCGGAATTCATGACGAAGCACAACTTCGCGCCCGCGCTGCGGAACAAGCTGCGGGAGTACATCTCCTTGTACGAGCCCGTGTTCCGCGACCACCACTACAACTCGGTGCTGTCGATGCTGAGCCCGCGGTTCCGTCTGGTCGTCGCGAAGCACGTCTCCGGCTACCTCGTCACGCGCATCCCCTTCATCCGCTACACGTCGCAGCACGTCCACGGCATCAAGGAGGGCGTGCGCCTCCACCTCTTCCCGCGCGAGGGCCGCGCGACGACGCGCGCCGCCGTCGTCGTCGGCGTGCCCGTAAACGCGCCCGCGTCCGGCGGAGATGTTCGCGCGCGTCCGCGACGCCCCTCCCCCCGCAGAACTACCTGACCTACGACGTGCGCTACGCCGACGACGGGTCGCGCGAGACCGTGCCGCACTCGCGCGTCGACGTGCTCCGGTCGCTGCCGGACCCGGCGACGCAGCGCCGCGTCTTCCGCCTCGTCTACGAGACGGACCTGCTCGTCGTGCGCATCGCGCAGAACTTCGAGGTCCAGCTCTACATGGCCCACGACACGGTCGTCCACCGCGACATGAACGTGAACGACGCGCTCTACATGATCGAGAACGGCCACTGCCTCCTCTTCGGCGCGCACAGCACGGACCAGTTCCGCTGCGAGTCGCGCGTGTCGTCGGAGTACTTCGGGGAGGACGTCGCCGCGCAGCTCGCGGGGTTCCGGAAGCCCGAGCTCGTGCACTACGCGGTGAAGACGTTCCGCCTGAGCCACCTCAAGGTGCTGGCGGGCGAGGTGCTGCTGCGGATCCTCACGGAGCGGCCGTCCTTCGCGCTCCACCGCAAGTACTGCCACCGCTACGGCTGCTGGCTTCTGGTCAAGGCCGCGATGATCCGGCGCTTCCGCGAGGGCCGCGCGCGCGACCAGGGCGACATCACGAACGCCGCGCCCGAGGTGCTCCACCGGAGCGACCGGCGGGGGTCCCTGCTCCGGTCGCCGTTGGCCGTCTCCGGCGCGGAGCTCCGGGAGGCGGGGCGCGAGGACGCGCGGTGGACCGCGGCGGCGGGCGCCGGCGCCGGCGGAGCGCCGGCGGAGCTCCCGCCGCTCGCGCGGACGCGCCGCGACTCCCGGCCCCGCGCCTTCGACGGCCCGGACGCGGACGTCCACGGCCTGCTCGCGCGCCACTTCGTCGCGCGCGCGACGGCCGACGCGCCGGCGCGCGCGGCCTTCGCGGCGCGCGACGCCGACCGCCCGGAGCTCGGCCGCCTCGCGCGGGAGCTCGCGGCGGCCGTCGCGGCCGCCGACGCCGCGCCGCCGGACCGGCCCGAGACGTCGCCCGTGTCTAAGTTTAAGCCCTAGCCGCGCGCGGGTGGACTTAAGCCGTCGTCGCGCGCCCGGGCGCGGGGCTCGGAACCGCGGCGCGGTCCGCGGGTCGCGCGGCGGCCGGCGCCGGCGGCCCGCGCGGCTCGTCGTCGCCCTCGCGCGCGTGCACGTTGCAGCAGATGCCGAGGATCAGGAGGCCCAGGAGCGCCCAGTGCGCGACGCGGGCGAGGTCGCGGTCCGCGGCGCCGCCGTGCCCGCCCGAAGCGACGCCGACGCTGGGCTGCCCCGCGAGGAGCGCGCCGCGGACCGCGCCCGGCGACGACGCGACGCGCGCCACGACGCAGCAGAGGAGCAGACGGCCGCAGCGCTGCGGTGCCATGTCGAGGCGGCGGCGGGTAGGGGACAGCGGCGCAGTTCTCCGAGTCGGACCAGACCCACCAGACGGGCTGCACCATGGGGTGCTCCATCCTTGCAAGACCCGCGAAAGCTCGTCGAGATAGCTCGTCGACTCATCCGCCGAGTCCGCGCGGACGCTGCTGGTCCAAATAACACACTTCTCCTCGGCCGCGCGCGTCGAACCCCGTCGACGACGCCACGATGCTCTTCGGCGGACGGCGCAACGAGGTCTTCGACGAGCAGCGCGCCGCGGCGTCGAGTCCAGGCAACCCGCCGCTCGCTCAAACCCCCGCCTCGGCCCTTTTCGCGCCGGCCCGCGGCGCGGCGGCGGCCCTTTGCGTCGACGCGTTTCGCCCGTGCCCAGGTACCACTGCTTCTCCGGCGCCTTCGCCGACAAGCCGAACCTCGAGGAGGGCGACAAGGTCCTGCTGCCGTCGAGCGCGTTCGAGCAGCTCGCGCGGCTGCAGATCGAGTACCCGATGCTCTTCGAGCTCCGCTCCGCCAAGGGGCGCGCCCCCCGCGCCGGCGACCCGCGGCTCCGCCCCGCGCCGAAGACGGCGCCGCCCCGCCCGCAGGCGCACGCACTGCGGCGTGCTCGAGTTCACGGCGCCGGAGGGCAACTGCTACGTGCCGTTCTGGATGATGCAGAACCTCATGCTCGAGGAGGGCGGCGTGCTCTCCGTGAAAAACGTGTCCCTGCCCAAGGCGACCTTCGTGAAATTCAAGCGCGGCCCCGCCGCGCCCCCGAAAGCCGCGCGCGCGCGGCGACGAACCCGCGCGGTACAGGCCGCAGTCGACGGACTTTTTGGACATCTCGAACCCGCGCGCCGTGCTCGAGAAGCAGTTCCGGACCTTCTCCTGCCTCACCGTCGGCGACCAGATCTGCCTGCCGCGAGCCCGGCCGCGCCCGCGACCGCGCCGCGCGGCGCCGCGACCGCGCCGCGGCGCAGGTACAACGACAAGCGGTTCTACCTCGAGGTCCAGGAGGTGAAGCCCCGCGAGGCGGCCTGCATCATCGAGTGCGACTGCGAGGCGCGGCCGCCCGCGCCCCGCGCGCGCCCTTTTCCGCGCGCCGCGCGGTTCCGTCCCGCGCGCCGAGCGTGTTCCGCGCGCAGGTCGACTTCGACGCGCCCGTGGGCTACACGGAGCCGGACTACGCGTCGCGGAGCCGCGCGACGAGCGAGGCGTCGTCCATGCCGGACCTGCCCGCGCCCCTCAAGGCGCTGTCCGCCGCGAAGGAGGCCGAGGCCAAGGCCAAGGCCGAGGGCAACTTCAAGTCCTTCGCCGGCGCGGGCAGCCGCCTCGACGGCAAGGACCTCAAGAGCGCCCAGGCCGCGCTCCTCGAGAAGATGCCGCAGCAGCCGCCCGCGAGCGAATCCAGCAAGGCCTGGCAGTCGCGCGGCATGTCGTGCGCGGGCGACGCGGCCGCGAAGCGCGCCGCGGGCGCCGCGGGCGGCGGCGCCGCGCCGCCGAAGCCCGTCTTCCGCAAGCCGAATACGTCCAAGTGGGCCAAGACCAACAAGGCCGCGTTCTCCGGCTCCGGCAACTCGCTCAAGTGACCGCGCGGGGGGGCGCTAACACGACCGCCGAACCCGCGGGGGGATCGGTGGCGGACGGTGCGGTTAGGCCGGCGCGGCGGCGCGCGACGGGCGTCCTACCAGCGATTGTGGTTCCTGCGGGGCGACGCGGCGGCTGAGCACGCGGCGTCGCGCGGCGCGCGCGCGCGCGAGCGGCGACGACGCCGGCGGGACGCGCCGCGCGAGTGCTCGGTTCTCCTCGACCTCGCCCGTGAGGAGGCGGACGATGGGGATCATGAGCAGCTCGATGACGGCGCCGAAGACGCCGACGAGCACGCAGCCCCAGCCTGCGGTCGCGGTCGCGTCGCATCGGGCCGCGCCGGCGCGGTCGCGCGTCCTCCATCGGGGCGCCGCCGGACGCGCCGACGGCCCAGGCCGTGCGCTTCACCTCCGCGGGCGACGGCTTCGTGCAGCTCTTCGCGAGGGCCTTGCCCTCCTTCTCGAGCTTCTTGAGACGGCCCTTGACATCCGCGATGACCGTGTCCTTCTTGTTCGCATCCATGGGTGCGCGGCCCGCGGCGGCGACTGCGGTCCGGGCCGGAGGCGAGGCGCTGCGACGACGCGAGGCGCAGCTCGTGAAGCAGCGATCGAGGCTGCCGATGTGATGGTGCACTGGATTGTTGAACCCCTTGCCACAGCCGGGCATCCAAAAATCGGCCGATTTGAGACGGTCGAATTTGGCTGCGCCGCCTGGTGCGATGGATAGCCGGCGTCGACCCGATAATTAAAGAGTTTCGGTTCGTGAAAATCGGTCTGGATTTCGTAAAGTTACAGCTCCTCAAAGTCTCTATTTTTTTCCTATGGCGCAATGGACGACCCATTTCCGCGTAAGGCGTTCGTTCTATGTGACGGCCCTGTTCCACGGCGGTTTTTTGTTTCAGGTTGCATGGGGCGCCGCCCTGCGTCGATCGAGCCAAAGAACATACTTGGAACAGGCCGGGAAGTCGACCCACCGGCCGGAGCCGTGTTTCGGCACCGGGGGAAAATCCGAAGCGCCGGAAGCGGATCTTTTGTCCGATGCGGGGTCCTAGTTGAACCCCTTGCCACAGCCGGGCATGGACGAGTGAGCCCGCCACTCGCACGTCGCAGCGTTTCCCGGGCCGTGCGCTCGTCGCGTCGCACGTTCGCACGTCGGAAACGTCCGCAGCGCTCATCGCTGCGTCGCGTGGATGCGGCGCGCGCTGCTGCTCGTCGCCGCCGCGCGCGCGCTCGCGCCGCTCGCGCAGCTGTCGCGGCTCGCGGCGCGCGCCGTGTCGAGCCCGACCTACGACGACCCGCGCGAGGGCACCTGGGGCGACAACCCCGTCGGCGGCGCCGCGGAGCGCGACGGGTCCTGGCTGCCGCTGTGCGACCGCGCGGACCTCGTGGCCGCGCTCGGGAATTTGAGCTGCGCGCCGGGCCTCGCGGCGGAGCTCGGCGCCGCGGGCTCCGCGAGCCTCGCCGTCGCGGCCGGCGAGCGCTTCAGCGTCGCCGTCGTCGCGCTCGAGGCCGGCGGCGCGGCCGTGCGGAGCTGCCACCCCGCGGGCACGGTCGTGCTCTCGACGGTGTTAGCGGGCCGCGCGGAGACGACGCCGCTCCGGCGCCTCGGCGGCGCCTGGGCGCCGCGGGCGACGAGCCGGCGGACGCGGCGCCCGGGCGACGGCGTCGCGACGCGCCTCGGCGGGCCGCCGCGGGAGATCGCGTGCGCCGGCTCCGACGCGGCGCTCGTCAGGGCAGGAAAAGAGAGCGAAATTCCCAACTTCAAAGGCTCATATCTCGGCCGTTTTCCACTCGTTTCGGCTGATTTTTGGACGAGCGATCGTCTCTCGGAACGGCTCGAAGCGTGCGCGCGCGCGGAACACTCACGTTGAAGCGACGTTGAATCACCCTTTTCCTGCCCAGGCGCTCGTCGTCGAGGTCGCGTGCCTGCCGCCCGTCGAGGAGTCCATCGCCCTCGACGGCGGCGGCGACGACGCGGCGCGGGGCGACCTCGCGCCCGAGGCCGCGGCGCGCTTCGCCTTCGGCCCGCCGGTGGCCGCGCCGTCCGCGCCCGTCGTCTCCGCGCTCGGCGCGCGCGGCCGCGTCGGCGGTTTGGACGCCGTCGTCGCGGAGCTCTCGCGGCGCTTGCTCGCGTCGCGCCTCGCGGACGGCGACCTCGGCGCGCGCCTCGGCGCGCGCCACGCGCGCGGCGCGCTGCTCTACGGCCCGCCGGGCTGCGGCAAGACGCTGCTCGCGCGCGAGCTCGGCGCGGCGCTCGGCGCGGACGACGACCGCGTCGCCGTCGTCAACGGGCCCGAGCTCCTCGACAAGTTCGTCGGCGTCGCGGAGGCGCGCGTCCGGAGCCTCTTCGCGCCCGCCGCCGAGGAGTGGGCGCGCTACCGCCTGAAGACCGACGGCGGCGCCTTTGCGCGGCGGGACGCGCTCGGCCGCGGCAACGCCGTGCCGAAGCTCAACGTCGTCGTCTTCGACGAGATCGACGCGGTCTGCCGCGAGCGCGGGTCCTTGTCGGGCGACACGACGGGCGTCCGCGACGGCGTCACCGCGCAGCTCCTGGCCTGCCTCGACGGCGTCGAGGACGCGGGCAACCTCGTCGTCATCGGCACGACCAACCGGCCCGAGCTCCTCGACGCCGCGCTCCTCCGGCCCGGCCGCCTCGAGGTCAAGGTCGCGGTGCCCGCGCCGGACGCCGCGGGCCGGCGGGCGATCCTCGAGATCCACGCCAAGGGCCTGCGGCCCTTCCTCGACGCGCCCGCGGCGGCGCTCCTCGACGGCGCGGCCTTTTGCGCCGAGGACCTCGCGGGCTTCTCGGGCGCCGAGGTCGCGGGCTTCACGCGCGCGCTCGCGTCCTACGCGCTCGAGCGCGCCGCGGGCTCCGCGGCGGACGCGGCCCTCGGCGCCGACGACGTGCGCCGCGCCGTCGCCGACGTCCGCCGCGACAAGCGCGCCGGCGCGCGCGCCGCGGAGCTCCGGGACGCGGCGTGGCCGGAGCTCGCGGCCCTCGCGGCCAAATGGCGCGACGCGCGCGGCGACGCGCCGCCGGCCGACGCGGCGGCGGCGCTCGCCTTCCTCGAGGAGCGCGCCTACGCCGCGAAGGACGTCGCGCTGCCGCCGTCGCCCGCCGCCGCGGCGGACCTCGCGCGCCACCTGTGGCGCTACCTCCGGGGCTCCTGATAAGCGCCCGCGTTACGCACCTGTGGCGCTACCTCCGGGGTTCCTGATAAGCTCTCGCGTTACGCCCCCTCGGCGAGGTTCGCGCGCGCGCCCGCGACGGGGTTCGCCGCGGGCCCCGGGGGCTTGGCCGCGGCGAGCGGCGCGGCCTCCGGCGCGGCTTCAGTTGTCGCGCCGCCCGCCCAGGGCCCGAAGCCCAGGCAGCCGAGCACGGCGACGACGACGACGACGACGAGAACGGAGTAGACGACGACGGCCAGCAGCAGCCACGCCCAGTAGGGCACGCCGTCCTCGGACTCCGTGATGAAGTCGCGGAGCGACGCGGCGCTTTCGTCGTCGTCTTCCTCGTCCGCCGTCGCCGCTGTCGCCACAATCCGCGACGGCGCCGCCGTCGGGGCCGGCGAGAGCGTCGGCGGGAGGCTCGGGGACGGCGACGGGAGGAACGACGGCTGGGGCGCCGGCGGCGCCGTGGGCCACGGGCTCGGCGCGGACGTCGGCCTGGGCAGCACAAGAGTGATTCAACGTCGCTTCAACGTGAGTGTTCTGCTCGCACGCGTCACGAGAAAAACATCTACGCTTCGAGACCGTTCCGAGAGATGATCGCTCGTCCAAAAATCAGCCGAAACGAGTGGAAAACGGCCGAGATATGAGCCTTTGAAGTTGGGAATTTCGCTCTCTTGTCCTGCCCGGACGTCGGCGGCGGCGTCGGCAGGGGGACGGGCACGAAGCTGGGGCCGGGCGACGGCGCGGCCGAGGGGATGAACGTCGGGCCGGGCGTCGGCGGGAGGCTCGGCGCGGACGTCGGCAGCTCCGTCGGGAAGAACGTCGGCGGCGCCGTGCCCGTCGGCGCGGCCGTCGTCGAGAGCGCGGCGAGGCGCGGCGCCGCGGGGACGGCGCCGTCCGTGGGATGCATCGTCGGCCGGTAGACCGGCGCCGTCGTCGAGAGCGCGGCGAGGCGCGCGGCCGCGGGGGCGGCCGCGGCGGCGGCGCCGTCCGCGGCGACGGCGCCGTCCGTGGGATGCATCGTCGGCCGGTAGACCGGCGCCGCGGACGCCGCGAGCGCCGCGGCTGCGGCGCCGTCCATCGCGAGCGACGCCGACGCTGCGAGGCTCGCCGGCCGTCGGAGCCGCCGCCGGTCCGACGCGAGCGTCGCCGCGAACAGCGCGAGCGCCAGCAGCAGGGCGCCGCCGGCGCGCCGTCGCGGCGCGGCCATCGTCCACCGACGGCGATCCGCGACCAGGAAGGAGCGGCCTGGCTTGAAATCGAGCAACGCGACCGTCACGCCACGCGGGCGACGAGGCCGGAGCCTCGAAGCATACTCCAAAGCACCCGCGGGGCTGCCGGATACTTGAGGGGAAACTTGGGCTGCATGGTATGACATACGCTTTTGGCTGAAACATCCGTCAAGCTATATTCGGATATCTTGACGCCGCTACCGGACCGGACAAACAAATCGTATAAAATCAATGGATGAGCAACTCGGAAGGAAAGGGTTGTTGCACGACGTCTCTGTAATCCCCCTAATTCAATACGATGACAGCCCACGTAATGGATCTCCCGGGCATCTCCGACGGGTTCCGGCGCCTGCGGCGCCACACGGAGGCCGCGGGCGACATGTCGGCGGCGGCCCAGGACGTGCGCGCCCGCCAGTACGAGCGCGTCTGCGAGAACTTTCGGATCCTGCGGCGCAAGTACGACTCGCTCAAGGAGGTGCACCAGGCGCTCCTCTGGGGCGACGCCGTGCTCGCGCACGAGGGGCTCGCCGCGGGGCTGCCCGCGGTGGACCCGACGCTCGTCGAGGAGGCCCACCGCGTCGGCGACGTCACGACGGCCGCGACGCTCGGCTCGGGCGCGTGCAGCAGCGTGCTCGAGGGCGCCTGGCCCGACGGGCGCCCCTGCGCCGTCAAGCGCATCTCGAAGCGGGACGCGAAGACGCTCCAGGAGGTGCGCAACGTCGCGTCGGAGCTCGAGGCGCTGCGGGCCCTCACGGGCGCGCCGCACGCGCTCGAGCTCCAGGCGGCGTTCGCGTCGCGCGACCACCTCTACTTCGTCGTGGAGCGCTTCGGCGAGGAGCTCTACGCCCTCCTGAAGCGCGACGCGTGCGCGCTCGCGCCGGCGCAGCAGGCGGGCGTCGTCCACGGCGTCGCCGCGGGGCTCGCGCACATGCACTCGCTCGACCTCGTGCACCGCGACGTCAAGCCCGAGAACGTGCTCCTCGCCGACGTCGTGCCCGGCGGCGGCTTCCGCGACGTCCGCGTCAAGCTCTGCGACCTGGGCCTGTCGACGCGCGTGCGCGCGGCGCCGTCGCCCGCGTGCGCGACCGCGACGCTCGCCCTTGGCGGCCGCGCGGCGCCGCCGCGCGGCCGCGCGGCGCGCGCGCCGCTCTTCCAGTGCTGCGGGTCCATGGGCTTCTTCGCGCCGGACATGCTCGACCCGGCGGGCTACGACGGCTGCGCCGCGGACGCCTGGAGCCTCGGCTGCCTCGCGCTCGAGCTCGCGGCGGGCGCGCGGCTCTTCGCGCGCGTCTGGTTCCGCGAGTACAAGGCCTTCTTCGCCCGGCGCGGCGACCGCGACGGCGAGCACGGCCGCTTCGTGGCCAATTTAGCGCCCCTCGCGCGCGCGCTCCGGGGCTGCGGCGAGCTCGCGGCGGAGCCCGACGTCGCGCGGGACCTCGAGGACTGCCGCGTGCTCTGCCGCCAGTCGCCGGCCTTCGCCGGCGCGAGCGCGTGCCTCGACGCGGACCCGGCGGCGCGCCGGACGCCGGCGGAGGCGCGCGACGCCCTCGCGGCGACGCACGCGCGGCGGCCCTCGGACGCGTCGGCGGACAGCGCGGCGTCGCGCGGCCGCGTGCACCCGGAGGGCGCGCCCGCGGACGCGCGGCCGTCGCTCGCGAGCTCGCTCCGGGCCGTGCTCGGCGGCCGCGAGGCGTCGAGCCCCGTCGCGCCCGCGGCGCCCGAGGCGGCCGCGGCGGCCGCGGCGCCCGAGGGGCCCGCGGCGCCGCCCGCGGCGCCCGCGCCCGCGAGCGCCCGGCGGCTCCTCGTCGTCGACGACGAGCCGGCGAGCCTCCTGGCGACGCGCGACGCGCTCCGCGCGGCCTACGGCTGCCGCGTCGACGCGGCGTCGAGCGCGCTCGACGCGCTCGACGCGCTCGAATCGGAGGCCTACGACGCCGTCCTCGTCGAGCTCGGGCTCGGGGGCGCCGGCGGCGCGGCCGTCGTCGCCGCCGCCGGCGACCGCGCCGACGGCGACCGGCCCTTCGTCGCCGCCCTCGCGCGCGGCGCCGGCGCGCTCCCGGACGCCGCCGACCTCGGCGCGGACGTCGTCGCGCGCGCGCCCCTCGACGCCGCGGTCCTCCGCGGCGCGCACTTCTGGTGAGCGCCCGACCCAGAAGACGTCGACCTCGTCGACGATTCAGAACCGCCCTCCGACCGCCTTCGGACCGCGCCAAATTCGATGGTCTACGCCTAGGCAGCACCACTTCCCGGGAATTTCCTAACGCACTATAGCCGTGCTGGCCGCAGTGGCACGGTATTATTGATAATTACGACGTGCGGACTTTAATTGTTAGAGGTCCATAAGCAATTGCTGCAAAACCCTCACGAATGCCAACATCCTATTCAGAGGGGGCCGACCACCAGGCATACACCAGCCACGGCATACACCAGCATAGCAGCCGCATAGCAGCCGCATAGCAGACGCATAGCGGGCGCATAGCGGGCGCATAGCGGGCGCATAGCAGGCGCATAGCAGGCGCATAGCAGGCGCATAGCAGGCGCATACCACCAGCATAGCAGGCGCATAAGACCAGCATAGCAGCCGCATACCACCAGCATAGCAGGCGCATAAGACCAGCATAGCAGCCCACCAGCATACCACCAGCATAGCAGGCGCATACCACCAGCATAGCAGCCGCATACTGGTCACCGGCATAGCAGACGCATACCACCGGCATAGCAGACGCATACCACCCGCATACCACCCGCATACCACCAGCATACCACCCGCATACCACCCGCATACCACCCGCATACCACCCGCATAACACCCGCATAAAGCCCGCATAAAGCCCGCATAGCGGGCGCATACTACCAGGCATACCGGCGGTCAACCCCCTCGGATCCTATTGGTCGGACCATCAGGTTTTACCTAACCCTAACCCTTAATACGCGACGCAATGGGCGCGGACTTTATGCGAGGCTTGGTTCGGCATGATCTGCCCCACGAGGCTCGAAACCGAGGGCACATTCCAAGGGTAATTTGGGGGCGTGGATGCGAACGAAACACTCCGCGCGCGCGGGGGAAGAGCACGAGCTGAGATCTCATCGCCTGCGCGCGGGGGAGGAACGGCCAAATCGATCTCGGCTTCTACGCGCCCTCGCACGAAACGGAGTCGAGATTCGGAATGCCCGCCCCCCAAAACCCCTTAGAAAGTGCTCTCGATTTCCCCCCTCATAGGGCAGATCATACCGAACTCAGTGGCTGAGATCGTTGGCGTCCATCCCTGGCCAAAAAAAAGTTGTGTGCCCTAGTTAATACTATTCTTGACGACGATGGACCAATAAGAAACCAGCATTTGACGCCTCGATGGGAAAATGACTAGAGGCGGGAGGCCACCACTACAGCCGAGACCGTAATATTCGATAATTCCAAGTCCCTCGAGCTGACCCAGCTCTAGGTCACGAGCAATTACCCGAGAAGCGGTGCTGCCGAGTCTACGCCCTCGACGCCACGGTGCTTGCCGAACGCCCGCCGTGTTCAAGTTGTCTCTGTTTCACCGACCTCCATGCCCTCGTACCGAACGCCACGACGCCTGCCGAACTCCCCCCCCGCACGGGGCCGTGTTCAAGTTGTCTCTGTTTCGCCGACCTCTATGCCCTCGTACCGAACGCCACGACGCCTGCCGCACTCCCGCCGTGTTGTCTCTACGTAAATTCGCAAGCCCTCTTGAGGCGGTCGGTCGGAGCGCCGACTCGCGGCCGGGCCGACTCGCCGCGCTCATGTGCCGCGGCTCCGGCTCTGCGGAGGGTCCCCCAGTAGCGTGGCTTCCGTAGAAACCACCCGTAGTGACGCGTTCTAAGACGAGTCCGACGCGTTGGATGGGAATCCGATGTCCAATCCGACCACTCGATGATCGCGTTCCGCGCGGCGGCCGCGCGTCGCTCCGCGGCCGCGTTCGCGCGCGAATAAAACCCCGAAAACGGTACCTCCGGGGACGACCGGACAACCGAGCGACGACGCTCGCCGGCGTCCGTCGGCGGGGTGTCGGTGGCCATGTAAGTGGGGATGAACCCGCGTCGATAGCCGAAGTCACCCTGAGGTACCGTCCCAAAGTCAACATCTCGTCAAGGTGCCGACACGAGGCCAATACAGGGCATGCGACGCGCCAGGACCGCTTCCGGCGGGAGCGAGGAGGCGGCGCGGGACACGTCGCGGCCGCGGACCGATGACCTCGAGGACGGCGTGCCGCTGCCGCTCCTCAAGCACGGCATCGAGGTGCTCCGCGCCCTCGCGACGGCGGCGGCGTCGACGGCTGAGCGGCGCGTCGCGCGAAAGGACATCAACTCCAAGCCGCCGCACGGCTCGTGGCAGGCCCTCTTCGACGCGAGCAAGCCCAGCTCCCTCGTGGCTCGCGGCTACGCGGCCAAGGGCTACGGCGCGGGGCCGGACTACGGCCGCTACTGGATCACGGCCGCGGGGCTCGAGTACCTCGCGGCCGTGGACCGCGCCGCCGTCGCCGACGCCGACGCCCCTGTCCCTGCCCCGCCGCTGCGCCTCGACGCCGTCGAGGATCTGGACGAGGATGATGCCCCTGCCCCTGTCCCTGCCGCTGCGCCTGCGCGCGTCCACGCGGCGCGGGCCGCGAGGCTCAGCAAGGAGCTGGGCACCGCGCGGCGCTCGGCCTCGTCGGCGCGCGCGTCAATGGCCGCATCCACGAGCAGCTCCCACGTGTGGAAGCTCGCGCGGCGCGAGGGCATGCCCCCCTTCGACAGCGAGAACCCCTTCGACGACGGCGACGTCGACGACTGGTCGAGCGACTTCGACAGCGAGGGCTCCGACGACGACGACTCCGACGACGACGACTCCGGCGGCAACTCCAGGTCGACCCAGGCGCGCAACGTCGTCTGTCGGCTCGCGGTCTACACCGGCGGGTCGGGCCGATCGAAGCTCGGATGGTCCGGAAGACGGGCGTCGCGCTCGACGACGCGGGAGACGCGCCGACGCCCGCCGACACGCCCAGGACGGGCCTGTCGGCGGCCTTTGCCGCCGTCGACGGACGCCTCGTCGTGCTGTCCGAGGCCGAGAACGCCAAGACCGTCGCCGCGTGCGACGGGTGACTCCGCGCTCGCCGTCGTCTCCCGCCCCGCGCGTCCCGCGCCACAGAGCACCTCGCGACGATCTTTTAGCAGAAACTCATAAAAAGCGGCTAGATCGACGAGGAATCGGGGTGTTTCGACGGGACAACGGTCCTTTAAGCGCGGCTATGGTTTACTTCAAAATCGAGGTCTGCTGGGGGTCCCTCCGCGTGGCGGGAGCCCCGCGCCTCGACTTGCGCCGCGGCCTCCGAGTCGCGACCATGGCCAGTCACAGTGCCACTCGGACCGCCGGCCAATTTATTATTATTAATTAATTGGATTCTGGGCTGCCCGCCGCGGTTAATACCCGAGGGCATGGCTTATCGGCCGGAGCGCTGGGGCGGGGCCCGGCGCGCGCTCGACGAGAACTTCGAGACGGCGGCGTCGTCGCCGCGCATGCTCAGCGAGCTCCAGGAGCTGAAGCGGTCCAACGACTGGCTGCTGGCGAGCGTCGAGAAGATGCGGTCGCTGGAGCCCCGGGAGCCCCGGCGGCACCGGAGCGCCCGCGCGCCGCCGACTCCGCCGGCGCCGCCCGGGGGCCTCGAGGACGCGGTCTACGCGTCGACGCTGGCGCTGCAGCGCGCGCACACGGACCGCGTCGCCAAGTTGCACGACGCGGAGCACGACCTGCTCGAGCGCCTCGGCGGCTGGCAGACCAAGGGCGCGCGCCTCGAGGCGCGCCTGGGCCGCTGCCGGCGCGTCATATCGCGCCTCGCCGTGGACCGCTTCGCGGCGCGGCTCGACGTCGACGCGCTGCTCCGATTGGGCGCCGGAGCGCTCCGCGCCGCGCTCCTCCGCGCCGCGCTGGCGACGTGGCGCCTCCGCGCCGGGGGCCGCGCCGCGGCCGCGGACGAGGCCCGGACCCGCCGCGCCGCGGAAGTGCACGAGAAGGTAGTAGAAAACGCGAAGCGCGAGCGCGCCGCGCGCAAGGCCGCGGCGAGGGCCGCCGCGGACCTCTGTGTGGAAATCAACCAGTGAGCTGGGACGTCGGGGCCAAACTTCAGAATTCTCTAGCTCGGTCAAATCGAAGTCGATTCGGCTGATTTCTGGACGAATCGATTGCTCTCAGCGAGTTCTCGAAGCACGGCGGAAGTGCTCGTGTCAAAACATTCGAATACGCGCTGCACACAGGCGGACCTCGGCGCGCGCCTCGACGCCGCGGCGGCCGACGCGGGCGCGGCGCGCGCGGAGGCCGCGCGCCACGAGGCGGCGGTCCGCGAGGCGCACGCCGACGCCGCCCAGGGCCGGCAGCGGGCCGACGCCGCGCGGACCCAGGCCGCCGCGCTCGCCGCGGAGCTCGCCGAGGTCGTGGCCGCGCACGAGCGCGAGATCGCGGCGACGGCCAAGGACGCGGAGTCGCGGTGCGCCGCGCTCCGGCGCGAGGCCGACGAGGCGCGCGCCGCGGCCGCGCGCCACCGCGCCGACGCCGACGACGCGCGCGCGCGCGCGGACGACGCGGCCGCGCGCGCCGCGCGCGCCGCGGCCGACGGCGACGCGGCCGCGCGCGAGCTCGCCGCGCGGCGCGACCGCGACGCGCGGGACGCGCGGGACGCGGGCCTCGAGGCGGAGCGGCGCGCGGCGCTCGACGCCGCGGCCGCGCGCGACGCCGCGGCCGCGCGCGACGCCGCGGCCCGCGACGCCGCGGCCGCGCGCGACGCCGCGGCCCGCGCCGAGGCCGACCGCGACGCCGCGGCGACCGAGCTGCGGACCTGCCGCGACGGCGCGGCGG